ACTATCGGAACTGACAGCTTATTTTCGTATGCAAATCAACATTAATGTCAACGTCTAAACAAAAGTGGAGACTATTACATCAAACTCAATCTTATTTTCTAATTTTAACGATTATTTACTGTTGAGGGATCCGAAATAACACCTAAACAATTACGAAGACGTCTAGAGTCTGGCGATCTGCAGACAACGCAAAGCCACTCGCCCTCCGAGCCATTCTTAAATCCCTCGCAGCTCATATGCAACCATTCCTCGCACAACTCGCACTGTACCATGTCGTTCCAACACTCGGGCATTGAACAATGACAAAATAAATAAGTGTCACAAGTTTGTCTCTTACTGAATCTAGCGGTGTTCGACTATCGCGGCAAAGGTTCAAAAACGACCTCTCTCCAGACCTTAAACTAAATTCTTGCCCATTTTCCCTTGGTCAAAAGAAACATCTGACGGGATGCCAGCTCGTAGGCATTAACGGTACGCATGTTTAGAATTAAAAACATACTTTAGTGCGCACTGGAACGTAAAGTATCATCCATTTTTACTAGAACATTGAGGATAATGTTTTCACTCAGTTTTGTTGGGGGGTCCAAATCCGCGGAGGGAGGTCCATATCCGCTGACGGATTTGGACAGGGGGGGTCCAAATCCGCTGGGACACCGGGACGACGTATCGAGTTATTTCAAGTACTACCAGCTATCCAGCGAAATCCTCGATTACAAGTTAATTTTGTTTCGTTCCCGTCATCATATCAAACTCTTTCCCCAGCGCGACGAACATTTGTTTTTCTCGGTTCCAGGTGTACGCGACCACTAACCCCACGTAATGCGCATGCTCTCTGTTGCGAATTTTCAAAATGGCGGACAGGCCAAAGGGGGAAATAAAAAAAAGCAATTTTGCAATGAATACTCAACATACGCTTCCATTAGAAAGGCGAATTTACGAATGAAGAAATGTAAAATGGTTTCCGTGTTTACATAGCCTGATGTAAACACGCGGGAGGTTGAGAGAACACGAGATAAGCGTAGGAAACCACGACGCGAAGCTGAGTGGTTTCCAGCTTATCGAGTGTTCTCCCAACCTCCCAAGTGTTTACATCGGGCTATGAAAACACGGAAATCCTTTTACATTTCTTTTATAAAATAACTAATGAAAGAGGAACGAAAACCGTGTTTACATACGCTCATGTAAAATGGTTTTATGGCCAATCAGAGCGCGCGTACTATTTGAATTATTTTATAAAGAAAGATACAAAACTGTATGATGTTGAGATCGATATGATATTAAATTGATACCGAGCGCTCGTTTCCAACTTGCTAAGAAGTGCATTTAATTGCCTTCCGCCACGATTACTAGCTTTCTTGACAGCTTTCCGAAGACAGAATATTTTCTTTCTGAAGACTTCTAATATGCAGCTACTGATTATTACACCTTGTATACCTGATTGTTAAAACACTTTGTTTACGACTGTTGGAAGGAACGACTCATGGTTCTCCGTCTTCGTCTTTACATTGCTTTGAAATAGTATAGATTAGTAAGCTGAAACGAAAAATTAATCGGGGAAGTTTACGAAAACTCCAGCAAACAAGCTTAAAAAAGGCATTTATTTAGACTTCATATTTCAACGAACTTCACAAATCTTACTTGTTTATCTCGTAAGTAAATGATGGAAGATAAATTCCCGAAGCGCTTTCTGAGTTTCCCGATCCCTCTCCTGTTGCTTTCACGCTTACAAAACAGGAAAAAATCAAAAGGAGAAAGATACAGCTGTTTTGAAACGCCATCTGACAAGGGTAAATCTGCTTTTTGTTCGACACTTTGCATATCAAAACAAAGAAAATTTCTTCCTCTTTTTGATTCTGGCGGTATGTTTTTAATTTGCGCCTGCGTAAAAGAGATATCGCCCGAGACCCTTCGCTCGGTCGTGTTACAAAGGACAAATTGTGTCATGACGAGTTTTTGTCTCGATTTTTGCATCCGCTTAAAACTTCAAAACTGTCAAATTTCGTCAGAGCTTGATCTGCTCATGAGCCCAGCTGGCATAGTTTACTATGCCAGCTTCACGATCCATTGTACATCGTTTCAAAGTTTTAAAATCCACGAGTTTCGCGACAAAAGAAAGTTAATGCCCTCCAGGTAAATTTTAGTGAGTTCAATAACAAGCTGGTGGCAGCTTTTACGACAAATGGCGTTGAAAACTCAGTCTCCTTTCACTGCCTCACATTGTTCTTTTTGCTCTGGATGCTAAAAATACTTTTACTACATTTCCAGTGTCCTCTCAGGTGTTCTGGTGTTTAGAAAATACCACTTACTGTTTTAATTTTTCCAAATCAGGGCTGAAATACCCAAAGCCACTCCAATCTTTGCTTTCCATGAATCAAGTAAACATTTAAAGATAAAATTCTCATTAAAATGTAAATTTCTTCAGTCCATTTGAATAGCTTTCGATTCTTATTCGTTACATTAACAAATTTTGGTTCCAACTTGTAGAACTTGCGAAACAGGTCGTATGACAAAGAGAAAAGTTTGCACAATCACGTCACGCAATACATCAAGCTGGGTTTGTCCAATTGATTTTGATGGTTACAGGGAAATGTCGAGTTTGTCGCTCAAAACCGTTGTGGTCCATAAGAGCGTAACATCATTAATGACGGAAACAAATTTTCAGAACGGAGGGCCAGTTTATCGGGTTCCGTATACTAAATCTCGGGAGAAACTGCAAGAATTATTTCAGAGTGTATGCGTGTTGTTTTGTAAATATAAACACTGTAACCTATTTTCACTTGTTTTTGTGTCCTTTTAAGCAACGTGATATGTCTGTTATGACCAGAGTGCCAAATTTTATTCTTTAATTTTGATCTTCTCCACACTGTGCATAGTTCATGACCTGATACTTCAACGTAAATTATCGAGAAGGCGCCTTCCGATCATCTTTATCTACTTTGTAAGTCACACAAGCGCACAAGCGTTACGACCGATGACGTTCACGCAACGTTTTAGGACAACTCGGCATCTAATCTCCATTCAGTTGCTGTGAAAACCTTTAATCCTCAACGTACAAGATAAAAGAACGAAGTTTGAACGGTCAAAAGGAGATCTTGCTCAATTCTAAGAATCATGCAAATGATCTTTGACACGAGCGCAATTAAGCACTGAAACACATGGATTTGCGTTGTTGCGTCGTCGTCGTAGAGAAGGGCCTCCTCTGACCACGCTGGTATGAAAATTATTTCAGCTTAAGTTTCCATATTTTGTCTGTGAACTAACTAAATACACCTTGTAACTTGTAGCAAGAGAGAATTCCGTGAGCTACATTGTTGCAGTTGTTGAGCGCTGGACAAAATATTTGAAATTTACACTTTCGATCGCTGTTCACAGGGGTGGTCTGGCCAAAAATCATTTTTGGCTTGTGGCGATGCGAAAAAAGAGAATTGGAGAACAACTTAACTTTTTTTTGAAACATGTGTCCTAAACCCTTTTCGTGGGCAAAAAAGAAAAGAAAACTTTTTTTCGACGGGAAGTCGAGAGGACCGCTCTTAGCGAGAGCGGCACTTAAGACACTTTCTATACAAAAGGAAAGATGTTGTGATACTGCATAAATTAACATGTACTTTTGTATCACGTGACCTATTGTTATGTGATCAGACCTTGTGGTCTTTAGGTGAGCCGCCATCAAAGTTGTTGAGTTGTGTTTACGCTCGTTGTCCTTATGTTCACCGTAACAGTGTTAAATTCGACCTGCTGCACTATTTCAGTTTGTAATCGCAGAATGTGAACTTTGACGGTTTTTGAACTTTGATAGTTTGAAATTTTTGACAGCTGTTGTCTTGTACAGCCAATCAGATTATTTTAACCGTTCTAACAGGGATTTTGATTGGCTTATTGTAGCGTGCATTATGAGAGTATAGCGCATCCTGACCACATTGTTTTTCGCTTTGGAAATAAAGCTTGTTTTGAGAATTGAAAGTCATGTGTGGGGAATTCAACGGATTCTTTATTATAAAGCAAATGGAGAAGCCTTGATTGTGCTCTGTTCTATTGTAAGAACAGGAGTGTCAAAGAAAAGTTAGCGTGCAGAGCAGGCGTAAATTGGCAAGCGAGAACTCATTCATTCATTTCTTGGTAAAAATCATGGCCGCCACCTTTGATTTTAATGGCAGCGGAAAGCTGGGGATAGAAGGAAATTTGTACTAAGGCGAGAGAAATTTCCCCACCCCTTCCCTCAACGCCACCTCTACCTCCAAATCAAACATGGCCGGTTGATTAAACAATCGTAAGCTTCTTAACGTTAACTCGCCCTAATAAGACGTCTGTACTGCAGGCTAAGGAAAAATTAATTCCTTAACAAAAGTATCAGCAGAGGATTTTAGCATCGTGCGTCACAAAATAACATTGCTGCACTATTTTCTTTATGCAGCGAAGTATCGATGTAAACTTACCAACGGCTGCGACACTGACGCTAGCATTCTTTCCCGCACCAACTTTGTTTGTAGGAACACACGTGTAGGAACCATCAGACGTCACTGAAACATGAAATATCCCTGATTCGCTGGTCTTGATGAGGCGACCGTTGAAATACAAACAAAATTCAATTTCCGGACTACCATCAGTTTGGCAAATCAAGCTAAGGAGACTTTTGCGAAGCACTGTGGTGTTCCTGGGAACTGAAATTAGTTTTGTGCCTGTAGGAGCATCTAAAAAATGATAAATAAAATCACGAGACTGATACAATTTATTCTCAACTATTTCTACCGCTGTCAGTCTGACACCGATAGAATTCCTAAGACTTTTGTGTTTTCCCCCTGCAGCGGAGAGAATAGCTGGTTTTCATATCATTTTACAGGTCATGCAAGACTTTTGAGTCAAAGAAAACCTCGAGAGAGAGAGAAGTCTGAGAAATGATCGCCATTGTATAAATTAATCGACAACGCGCTCACTAATAAAGCGCTCTGTTTCGGCCAATCAGAAACACGCGTTATACAGCAACTCTCTAAAAGTCACAGAGCTTAAACGATTAAATACTTACAGTGCACTGTCACTGCTAGTGTTCTTTTTGTGCCATAACCATGAAAATTGACGGGAATGCAGCTGTAGTTCACCATCTTTACTCTTTCAGTAATTGAAGCTATAATTACTGCATCGTTGTAGGCACCATTGATATACTCATCACCTTTGTAAAATTGATATTTTGCAGGTGGGTTGGCGTGTGCACTGCAGGTGATACTGAACGTTTCATTCACAAGAACAGTGTTGTTAGTCAGATTAGTTGTCACAATGGTGTTTACTGGATGGTAGTCTACAATGAATTTAAAAGAACAACACTCCACCTGTTAAACTTAGGTAAGTTTTATACCCTTTAAGATCATGGTCTACTTAAAAATACACAGCTTACTTTTTACCTTGAATCTGGCATATCGGTGCACTACAATATATCTTACCTTAGTATGTAAATTCTGACAAAGAAACAAAATTCTGTTAAAGTAGCTAGGTTGTTTCTTCAGATATTTCAGAAATATTTACAGCAATTAAATAAATAAACAAGCCTTTCATTTTTTTTATACCCATAATAAATCGTTGATCGGAATATTTCGATCAAGTGCTAGTTTGGCGCCGAGATAAAAAAAAAATATAGTTGGTGAGGGTATCGTCCCACGACTCGAAAATCTGGTAATCATATCATTCAGGTGTACTTTTTTCTTTCGTGGAAAAGGCTGTAGTTATTCATCGTGGTGAATAACAATAAAAAGCTAAGTTTTTCGTTTGTCTCACGATGTAGTCACGTGTGATATAGATCGCGATGTTTCGACTGCATACTGCTAGTCTTCTTCTTGGTGAGTTTCTGCAAATGACAGTGGAAACCGGACTCCCCATGACGGCGCCGTCTTTTTGCTCGTAATCGCCTCACCACCAGCGTATACAGGAAGCCCACGCACACCGATCAATACTTAGCGTATGATTCCCACCACCCTCAGTCAGTAAAACGCGGTATTGTTAAGTGCCTAACGAGCGCGCCAAAAGCCTCGTAACAAAACCCTCCGTTATCTCCGAGGAGAAAAAACATCTGTCATCTGTTCTGGTTTCTAATGGTTATCCTTATTCTTTCTTGCCGAAACTTACCAAGACCGGAAAACCAAACAACAGTGCCGAATCCGCCAACGAGTTCAAAGCCACTGCGGTTTTACCTTATGTTAAAGGTCTATCCGAACAGCTTTGCCGTTGCCTACAACAACAAGGCGTACGCGCTGTTTTCAAGTCGGAGGCTACGCTAAGATCTCAGTTAGTACGACCAAAAGACGCTGTCGACCCGGCTAAACAAGATGGTGTAGTTTACAGGATTCCCTGTGAATGCGGCAAGGTGTACATCGGAGAGACTGGAAGACCTATGCAAGACGGAATTAAGGAGCACGATCGAGACATTCGACTGGCCCGTACCGAGACCTCCGTCGTTTCAGAGCATGCCCACAACACCGGACACAAGCCACTTTGGTCGTGACCCTCATTACTACACGCGCAAGGTCAAAGAGGCAATTCACATAAGACTTCACCCTAACAACATCAACAGGGATAGTGGAATAGAAATTCCAGAAGCGTGGATGCCCACGATCAAGAAACACAACAACAGGAGAGCCGTGCGACAGCGGATCGCCGAGGGAGCAAATCACTGAGTGAACAGCAAGGATCGAAATGCACCAATCAGAGCTGTTGAAAAACAGCCAATCACAGCAGAGCATCATGCTTTATAAGATCACGCATGACCAGTCGACCTCATCGCCTGAAGAAGACTAGCAGTATGCAGTCGAAACGTCGCGATCTACATCACACGTGACTACATCGTGAGACAAACGAAAAAATTAGCTTTTTGCTTTTTTCTTTGTTTTCTGGAAGATGGATGTTATGCTAAATAATTGCATAATTAGATAAAATTGCTAGCTGAGAGGTTTTGTAATTCTGTGTAACCTCAGGTAATAAGGAGTAAAGGGAAACAGTTCAAAATTAACTTACTCTGCACAAAAACATTGAAAATCCTGCTATCAGGGCTTCCAACACCATTACTGGCAGTGCACTTGTAGTCTCCTTCATCTTGTTTACCACTGATGATGAGAGGGAAGGACACAGCTTTGTTGTCAGAAACTCTTGTCCAGGTGATATTTGGTGTTGGATTACCATCAGCCGCACACTTTGCATTTAATGTGTCACTTTCATTCAGGGTCTGATTACCAGAGGTGTAGTTGATCTTTGCTGCATCTGTTATACCAAAAGATAATTCACTGAATATTTTCAATGTATACACAAAGTTGTTACCCACTTGCAGATAGTTAACTTATTAAACCTTTAACAGCTAGGAGCCATGTACAGTGTCCACATTGAGGGCGATTAACACCTCCACTGATCATTAAATTTAATAATTAAGGTGAGAGGCACGTGTAAATGATCAGCTACATAGCCGATTACACCTTCAATGGAATCAAACCCACAAAGTTACCTGTGCGTACACACTGTGCTGGTTTCATTTATTAATTCCATAGTTACGCAATAGTTCTCAAATCTGGATGGCGGTATGTTAAATTCATTGCTTTCATTAAGATTTTAAGTAGGTGGCCACCTCAAAAAAGCACCCACTGGAGATTAAAATAGAAAACAGTTTCCCTCTCGCAAGCCCATTAGTTCTTTTCAAAACAAACTGGCTTCAAATGGAGTTTTCTTCGGTAAATAATAATAGTTTGTTTTCCAACTAGCCGTTGAGAGGAACTGTTGTTGTTCTATTTGTCCAAAAATATTCGACAATTCTAGTTCAGCACCGAGTTGCAATATGTACGAAAACAGATAGCTAGAATATAAAGGTTTCTAATGAATACTCAGTTACATCATTAAAAGCTAAGTGACTAAAAGCAGTTAATGCGTGAGCTATTTTAAACTCGCAAGCTATCGTCCCAGTTAACTTTGGGAGAATGGAGAGGTGATTTATCAGAATTCTTGCTTGGGAAAAATTTTTTAAGGCAGCATTCCAAAACCGCTTTGGATTATCCATGTTCTATGTTTTAGGGTTACACGCCTTCTCAAATACATCAAACGGATGAGTATATATGCCTTTCCAAGCAAGCCAAGTCTCAATAACACTTCATTAAAAATTCTTCACATAAGGCATGTTTCAGATCGTCTTAAAGCAATTTAGGGTCGTAATTTTACGGCACTGTAACGGCTTTGGAGCTATTGTTTCATGAATGCATAAAAAAGAGCGAGCGGAGTGAAAGTGATGCTGGTAATCCTTGCAATTAAGATTCTTTGGTTAGTTGCGAAAGTCTCATGTTTGTGTTACTGGAGAGGTCGACCTTCAGTCCCTCACAGTCACTGCTAGGGATTTCATGAATAAATCACAATCAAAATCACCCAAAAACTGGATTATTTTCGAGGGTTTTCGAATACACCCAAGCTTTAGGCATAGGGAAAGTTAAGTCAAAGGTAAATGCCACATTTTCTGAAATATTTCAGTGGAGGTTGTGGTGCCAATTTCGTATTAAATAAATAGTTGGGAGGTGGAGCGTCCGACATTGTAAATGCTTCAAGTGATTACGAAACTGGAAGTCACGGAATGGATGGCGTTACGGCAAACCACCGTTATGAGAAAATAAAATTAAGTTATACAATAAATAATATGACAAAGTGAGATGTTGACAAGAATAATTAAAAAGAAAAAATATAATATTTTTAATTATTCTTGTCAACATCTCACTTTGTCATACTATTTATTGCATATTTTCATTTTATTATACAACTGACGATGGATGATGTTCCATCCGAAACATGTTTTGTCTTCATCAAAAAATATAGGAAAAATGAACTTCAAAAGCACCGTGTGGCTCATCAAGGTGATATCTTGCTGCTGCTACGAAGCCTTAATAATGATAATAATGATAACAATAGTTATTATATACTCAACAAAATATCGCGTTTCTGATTGGTCAATGATGAATGCATAAATAGGTTATAGAGTGCAATAGAGGTTATAGAGTGCAATACGGAGAAGTTGCCATGGAAACACCGGGGAAGCGCCAAATTTGAACACCAAATTATAAAAAAATGGCTGACAGCCGGTTTGCTTTGTCGAGAATATAATAAATAAAAAACCGTATGAACCTGCTCGTGCATTTCGTGATTTATGGTCACTCGTGATGTTTTGAAAGTTCTCAAATTGCACTCGCCTACGGCTCGTGCAATTTTGAGAACTTTCAAAACATCACTCGTGCCCATAAATCACGAAATGAACTCGCGTTCATACGATTTCCTATACTAATAGTGATGATAACTTATGGGGGTTAGCTCAAGAAAATCACTGTTCCTCTACCGCTCTATCCTCTAGAGTCCCATAAAGATTAATCTACGCTTCTTTCAATTTTTCCTTTTCATCATAAATTACTTTCTTATTTCATGGCAATTCCATTTTTGTGAGACTTCTGTTTCATACAAAGCATTCCGCATTTTTAGAGCAAATCGTTATTATTTGTGTTTTTTCTTGACCCCTGCACTCTGCATGTTGAATTCCTTTATTGTCTCTTCTTCTTCTAATTTTATTTTTAGCACCACAACTGGAGAACAGGCTGGAGACGATGCAGCCACAACAATTTGTTTTCTTCCATGCCACTTGAGCTTAGAACACTTGTTCCATACCAATACATTGACAGGCTCATTGGCGTTTTGGTTGAATCCAGGTAAACATCGGATGAAGATCGAGTGCTGACTCGCTCGAACGATCATTAGTCTTTTCAAGAGGTTCCTTGAAAACACTTTACAGGTGATATGGCTTGTCTAGACAAGGCAATACCCTTGAGCTTTTACCATGAGTCACTTAGAAAGTATTTGTGCTTAAAGGCCAGTTTTTTTTTTTTAATCTCCACTGGCATATTTTTTTTCTTCACTAACTCTCTCGCCTGATTCATGAGTTGCATGATTCTTACCTTAGTCACGTGAGGTTTGTTTGAATTCTGCAAAAATTGAAGAACACTGACTAGTCTGTATCCCTTAGTAGGCTCCAAATAATTTTGAATACTTCATGCGAGGACTTTCAAGGTCGTTTGACTGTATTTTCCGCTTGGGAGGAGCCTGCCGAGGAGAGGAATATTTTTTTAACCACATCGTCTTCACCAACAAGAGTGACTTCAACAGATGGCGTTTCTTCTCTTTTCTTCACCGCTACATTCTGTTTCTGAGTTCCCCTGAGACGCTTCTTTCTTTTCAAAGTGCAATTCCTTACGCCAGACTGTTTTTTTTTCCTGGACGAGAAGACAAGTGAACTAAACGGACGCTCACGCTCGTAGCTTATTCTACTTTGCGAACCGAAACGAAACGAGAATGGCGAGGTATAAAAAAAAAAAAACTAAGGGAATAATGCAGATGCATTTTCTATAGGATAAAAATAACTTTCACAGGGATTTAGGAGTAATGGTCAATTGATAAGGAGGATTCGTTCCGCAAAGTAGTAATTCAGGAAGAGTTGCTATTTCGACGAAATGGACTATTTTCCCCTGCAGAGACAATGTGACCTCTTTCATGTCCCAAAAAGACATTCAAATATTTCAAATAAGTACATTACCAAAGATTTTGATGTCCTCTTGTTTCTTACACCATATTAAAATATATTTTGTAAAATAGTAAGTTTGGGGAGACTTTATTTTGCAAAATGGACTATTTTCACCCTCCAAACACAATTTCTTTCTTTCACCATCAATATAAAATTGATTTCGCAAAGACGTAATTTTAGAACATTTAATATTTTGCAAAATGAACTATTTTCATGAGCGGTTACGATGAAGCCATTCTCGTGTCACACAATAGGTTTGGTAATATAAACTCATTTTCGTGACATCAAAAAGGACACCTAAAACTAAACAAAACGATTCGATGCTTGTAGCAGTGCGAAAGGAACCAAGTATAAAATATTCTGAAACTAGATGGATCGAGGTATTATTTGAGAGGAATAATCCAACAGTTATTCCCCTTTAGAGTCAAAAAGCATCTCCACGTTGATATTTCCCTTTCTCTCCAACAATGATCTTTGTGGTCGAAAATGTATGAAAATTGTAGGAAGAAACTCCCTTTTGGGTCACTCCTGAATTCTAGGTTGAAAGAGTGGAAGAAAATTTCCGCTCCTTGGCTATCATTTTCCACCCCGTTATAATATTTTATATTTTTTACAGCCATGACATCGTGACAAAAAATGCTTCTGTAAAGGCATGATAAATCTATTTGGAAACACCCAACATCGATGACCACGCCGCAAACTGGCCTAATTTATGCGTCGTAACCGGTCAAACTCCTCTTGTTCAAACAGGATGATCTACCCAGAAGGTATTTTGACCCAAATAATGAATCAAATCAACTTTCACCCACTTCTCTGCTGATACGTCGATCAATTCGAAGCTTCAACATCCTCTGGTACCCTCCCCCGGGGGCATTTGAACTCTTTAAGATTGGTTCGTCAAATTCCCGCCCCTAACCCGACGCTTACGGTCGCATTTGATAGTCAACTGTCCCTCCCACCCTCCCAAAGAAAAATTAAAATGTATTTCTTTTTGGCGCTACTATTGGGTTCTTTGCATCACCCTACAAGCGGAAAAGTCATTACACTGGATGCGTTTAGCAACTGAATGCAACACTTCCGACTAAATAGGAGGGAATGGGGTGGAACGGGGTGGATGTTAAACTTTGAATTGATCGGCGCAGAATATATCAAACTACGACGACATGTTTTACTCATGGTATCTTATTTTGCATATTGCTCGCTTTCCCAATTGAGCGGCTCTACTACGCATTGTTAGCTGCTTCAAACGCGAATTCCATGATGCACTAATTATATCTGTTATATTATTTATAATTTTCTATCACTCGCCGCAAGAGTCCTTCGTGATCAAAAATGAATGTAAAGTGTTTGTTGTCTTCTGTGGTATCACGACAAGAAGTGGAAAAAAAACACATTTTCAGTTCCACTGGCACAATTAGCTGATTTAAATGGTGAAATGCTTTCTTTTAAAGAATAAGATATTTTCCATATCTCTTCTGATACGCCAACCACATTGATTTGAGAGAGAAAGATAACATTACTTTAAAGAGAAACTGCGCCCGTACAAATACCACTCTTTTACGAGCTATATCCTTTGGAATTATGGCGTTATCTTGTTTAAATCACAAAGTTTAATTCATTTTTCGTCTTAATCTAAATGTAATAAGTTCTGCCGGGCAGAATTAACTTGTTTCAAC